TGTAAAAGAAAAAATTCTTTCAAAACAGAGCTATTTTTCCTAGAACTTTAACACGAAAAAAATATATATTAGCAGCATTTTCCCTAACCATTGAAAGGGGATACTTACGAAATTGAATTTTATAGGTCTGTTAACCGTATGTACCATCAAAAGTTTAACATGTTCGTATTATCGTACAGTACTATTTTACCGAATACTTATCAATCGGGGATAAATTTTTTTTTTTAGCACCATACATTTAAAATATTGTTTAGAGGAAATGTAAAAGTATTCATGCAAATTCAATTGCTCGCATCAATAACTCCTTTGAATTCAACTAAGACTGCAGACAATGACTTATAGACGTCACTACCCGAGTTTCATATGACGTGAAAAGGTATCTACCTTCTAAATGTCTGCGCGTATAATTTCAACTGGAACTACTGTCAGAGTTTTATACATAACTCTACTTATGACAACACTGTCTGAGACATTAATAAAAAATTCAAATATCGTTACAGTGAGCTATACCGATATTTTAGAGTTTGAAAAAAAAAAAGTTGATATAGAAAGAATTTATTCAGATGCTATTATGTTCAGAGTAATGTGTAGTATATTTGGATCTTATTTCCGTTTCTTTATAGAGTTTATGAAATATATATTTAAGGATTTCCATAGAATCAACTCTACTTCACGTAATTATGAAGTATCTATCATTCTGGTTTTAGACACATTAATTTATACTTCATTTTTATTGTACGCGTAGATATATCTAGACAAAGTTTTATTTAATTCATGCATGTTAATACAGTCAGACTTCCTAAGTGCACCCCTCGCATTTAAAAAGGACGCTTTTAGAGATTAACGAAAGCAATATTACGTATAAGCAGGCTTATACATTTATAGAGGGTGTGCACTTATACGGTAGAAGCCTGTTATCGATAGACTGTTACAATGACGTCATCATGTAATTATAAAATACGGAAATATAAATCGATAATTGTATCTCTATGTTAACCAAAATATGGATGAAAAAAACGAAAATTCAAGAAACATAATTATAGAAATTGATTTAGAAAATCCTTCTCCAATTTTACAACCTACTTCAATAAATAATCTTTTGAATTATGAAGATCTCACAGATGGGTCGTTTCAAAATTTCAATATAGATTCTTTCCAACTTTCAAGTGATAATGATAAAACACATAAAATGCGTGAAGACCATAAGCCACAATCCGCTACATGCGATTCCTGCGTATCCTATATTCAAAAGATAAATATGTACAAACAACAACTTGATTCCATGGAACAAGAAGCAATTAATCGCCGAGAGAAATTGGCTAATAGTTATAATGAGTTAAGAAAAGTTTTAAACCTTAAAAAAGAATTAATCGAAAAGTATTCAGTGAACGACGAATCTTCTAGAACTTCGAACTCTGAACCATTTTCAAGATCTGCAAACAGAATTTATTCGTACGGAGATTCTGATGCTGGTCCTAGGTAAAAAAAAAAATTACTTTCTATACATTTATTGGTCAAAATTCTCCTCTAACGATTCCCGGTTTTTTCTTTGAATTTAAAAGTAATCATTCGAAAAATGAAAATCCGATTGAATGGTATATTTCATCTGACCAAAGGCAAACAAATGTTAAAGACGAATATAAGAAAACCTATCATCAAGATGGTGGAAAGAATAAACTTCATGCGGGTAAATATTAAAATTTAGTTAAATTTTGAAAATTCGTAAATAAACGATCAATGCTTATTTAAATTGAATCTTTTATTAATTCCAGAAAAAAACTTGCTAGAATTTGATAGCGATGAAAATGATTAATTTTTATTCAAAGAAATTGGTTCTCTACTATTAGATTGATTTTGTCGCTTTTTGTATTCTTTGAAGAGCATTCTAAATATTAAATTGTTTATTCTTAAATGTTTTAAATCGAATATAAATAATAATATTAAGCTTTTGTAACTGATATTTTTAAATAACCTTTATTAATTATAAGCTGTAATTGTATAATTGTGTTGTAATTCAAGAAACTAATGGTTATGAAGCCAAGTTCTTGTTGAGCCTGGGCATTTCATCAATATGATGAGATTAGATAAGCATATATGCGTGTTATCCGCTTTTGATAGGCATCAATGATGTGAGGAAGGTTAGATAATTGCACAGACATTCTATGTATTATCACGTGAAAGACGTTAATCGTGACGAAATGTTTCCTTTTGTAATAATTATATGCAGATTCGGCAGGTTACTGCATTATCATTATTGTCAATTTATATAATGACAAAAAATACCTAAATAATTAGATATTGTTTTATATTGTTTTCGTACTTATTCTTATTTTTCTTGATTTTTTTTTTTTTTTTTAATAATAATGTCTGTTAAAAATCTTCGTAATCCTTTACCAATGTTAACATCTGATTGTATTGCCGACATTCTATACCAACTAAAAAATGATCGCACAACTCTATATTCTTGTCTTCTCACCAATCGACTATTTTGTCGACTTGTGGTTCCACTATTATGGAGTCGACCATTCGAGCATATAATTTCCGGAAAGAAAGCTGCGACAAGCATAATCCACTCATATCTATCCTGTTTAACACTTGATGAAAGACAAATGTTATCTAAAAAATTGAAACACTGGTTTCCTCCTTTTCCTACTCCATTATTTGATTATCCTAAATATCTTCGAGCTTTCGATTCAAGAAATTTTAGACAAACAGTTCAGAAATGGTGGGCTGTTCCTTTTGATAATGTTCAAAGTCTTAAAAGAGTTATAGATGGTATTGAATTATTTAGCAATGTGTTGTTAAGCCATACTTACGGCTTAGGATTATTGAAATTAGAACAAGAGTACAATAATTATTTTGACGAAGAAGGAAATCTTATCTGTAGCTTCCCGGATTTTGCTTCTTACGTAAGAGCTAATCAAGTATTACATAATCTTCGAAAATTTGAATTAACTTATTGGATTGAAATTGCAAGCAACAATGTTACCGAAGAAAAAATTATAGTCTTACTTAACAAGGTTATAGAATCTTCAACGGTTATTAAACAAATTGCTATTAATATACCGTGTTTGCTTGAAACTCAACCGATAGTTCCATTATTATGTAAATTAGTCAACAGACAACATAATCTTGAAGAATTGGAATTTGATGGCCGGTGGGATTCCAGCATTTCAAATACTTTGTGTTTATCAGTTCATAGTCACCTAAAATATTTAAGAATCAATAATCTATCCACGATTACAGAACTTCTTCCTATTCTCAATACATTAACTTGTCTTGAAACTTTGGTGTTATGGAAACCACAAGTTAATGATGATTTCTCAAAGATTAACGCAGACACTCTACCTCCAATTTTTATTAAAAAATTATTAATTTATGAAATTGGACCAGATCGAAAAATCTTGGATAACTTTGTGGGATTACTACTTCGATCAGCAAATCGTAATTTAAAAATATTTTCATTACAAGAATGTATAACACCAAAACTTTGCAAAGTACTTGTTGAATATTGTCGAAATCTTACTCATCTATCAACACTCGTTAATACTGTCGACCTCTCTTCTCTTTGCACTACACTTCGATATTTACCGAGTATTGAACATTTAATCATAGTTCAGACTTGTAGTAGTTCTTCGCGACAACGTTCATGGATGACGTCAAATAGTTGTGGTATTACTAGACATTCATGGGAAACAAAATCTCTTAAAAATCTTGCTAGTTCATTCCCACCTTGTCTCAAATATTTAGGAATGTGCATAAATTTTTCGGTGACTCAACTTAAAATTCTTTTACAAAATATTGATATACCTATTTGCATGATGGAATTTTACAATTTCGGTGGTGAGATGATGATGGATAAAACGTTAGAGTTACATTTTTTAAGATTAATGGCAGAATATGCCGGAAGAAATCCAGGATTTTGTGTGCTTGGATTACCTGAAAATCCAGAGGCTTGGCATGATGCTGATTTTTGGAAAATGGCAAAAGATTCTATTCCTGTTATTAAGAAGTCAGAACTTTTATATTATCCGATTTATAGTAAGTATGAATAAATAGAAATTCAAAGATCGAATCTTTGTTTTTTTTTGAAAACTTACTGACATTAATATGTATTCTGTAGATGGAATGATTAATCCTGGATATTGTTAAACGAATCAAAAAAAAAAAAACATACCCACGTCCTAATTAATAGTAAAACAGTTGATATATCACATGAATGGGAAACGATTATGGTGAATGTATGTGTATTATTCATTAGTACATGTATTTGATTTATGTATTTCAAAATTGTATTTCAAAATTGTATTTCAAAAATTGTATTTCAAAATTGTTACGCTTTAACAAAAAAAAAATTGTTTGGTTAAAAGATGTCTTTTATTTAATAAAAAAGAAAAAAATAGTTTTGCTCCGATTAGTATTATAGTTGATTAGCAGTAATAATGCTCTCTAAAAATACATTATACGGACAAACTTTTGGCGACATGCATGCATTGAGAAAACAATAAAAAAAAAAAAGCATTTATGAAGGTTAAGCATATATATTTGAGCCGGAGTTCGGATTAAGAAGGTTCAGGACCGATGACTTTCTTCATTTTACAGAATACGGAATTGTCGCAGAAAGTAGAGATTTTATAGATACGAACACATTTCTAAAAATATATTTTTTAAATTACAGTTTTATAAATTTTAATTCTCGAACTTTTTGCAAAAATTAATCACCGTAAAGTTGCATTGCATAATTTTGTGAATTTGTCGATCATTTCAAATCGTATAAAAATTGACTAACCTAAAGAACATTAGGGTTGACGTGTGTAACAGTATACTGCCAGCGATTGAGATATATCCGGTAAGTAATCAACAAATTTGCAGATTCGAGATTGATCTTATGCGTATTAATCACGTGATTACATCTGATCTGCTGAAACCAGATTATCTAATTCAATAGTACTGTAGTATCAACGATAAAAAAAAGATAATTCCATTGTGTAGTAGTAAAAATGCCTCAAATTCACGTCGAGTCCGAAGAGGTAACAAATGATGAAAAGGAAGACTCGGTTGCTCTTAAAACACTTAAGGCTTTAGCAAAAATACCCACATATCTCTCTGCACGCTTTTTACCTACTTCGAGCTCCTCTTTACTTTGTGAATTATACTTTAATTTTGTTGCATTTTTTGAATATAATGTATTTATATTAAAATGTTACTTCATAATTTTTCAAAGCCATTCACATTACTCTTAGTCAACGTGACTTGGTCCGAAAACTTAAGCGAGCAGTTGCAAAACAGCTGGTTGTGTCCCTGCAAAAGGATGGAAATGGTAAATCTATATTCTCTTCATTTTTACCAATCGATTTGGGAGATGTTGCTCTGCAAACTATTTCCCCATCTGGAAATCAACTTTTGGTCTTAAGAGCCGTATCGAATGAAAAAGGAAAAAAGAGATTTGTTGAAGTAATTTTTTTTACACCAACTTTTAATAAATTTAAAAAATATGCGATAATTAATTAAGTATATATGTGTATTGTTTAATTTACAGACTTGGAAACTAGGAGCACTAATTAATGTTTTAGATGTTACCGATGTTCATGGAGAGTTTTATACTGATGGTAATTATTCGTGCAATAATGATTATATGTGTAACAAAACTAAAATTATCTAACATATCACTATTTAAGACGAAATTGGTGGCCTATATTGGTCAAAGGATGAACAAAAAGCTGTCTATGTTGCAGAACAAAAGGCATTAGAAGATTCGGATGAGCGGGTGACTTTAAAAACTCTTTTTCATGATTGTTTTTTACATCCTGTGTATTTTATTGATTTCAAATTAAATAATTTATTACTAGAAATTTGATTACTCGCCATCTTGGGGCGAGAGATTCAATAATAAACGTGCCCCTTCAATTGTTGTTTTCGATATCTCAACAAATGAAGCAAAAGTTTTGCCAAATTTTGAAAAAATTGATCCTGGACAGGTTTGCATTACAATTTTATATTAAATACTTTACTAATTTCGACATTAACACATTTTTATATAAAGGTTCAATTTGGACCTGAAGATAAATCGCTTATTTTTACTGGATATAGTAATGAACCACGACGTTATGGTATTGCGTCGTGTATTAATAGATTGTGAGTTTAACTATTTGTTATGAAAAAATTTAAATCGACATAAAATGAATAATTTGACCATCTCAATTGCAGAGCTGGAATATATCAGTGTCAACTAGATGGGTCTAATCTAGGTAAGAACATAGGTAGTTGTATTAATTTATATATTTGATAGCATATTGATAAAAGGTTTATTAACAGAGCATCTAAGTAATAATGTCGAACACGCTCGCTCACCGCGACTTAATTTGTCAGGAAACTGCTTAGTAAGCAATGTTTTTTTTAGTAAATTATTAGTCCGGAGCAATCTGTTTCTGTAAACTTTAATCATGCAATGCAAAGACCCAAAAAAAATTTATTTTATTAGTTTTACGGGTCCCTGATGTGATGTTTGTCTGTCCGTCTGTCCGCACACGGCAGGGTTGGCAATGGAGCTGCGAATGGAGCCAATGGATACTAGATTTTGAGCTTCATTCACATAACCATTTAACTCCATTGTCTCCATTGCCAACGTGGTAATAGACCAATCACATTTTACTAGTCGACGAACATTGAATCTAATAAATTGCATGCTTCATGCTCACAGACTTGTACCGGTTTCCGGTTCCTAGTTTTAATTATACAATTACTTATTTGTATTCATATCGATAAAGGTTTATTTGTCTAATCCAACCGGTGGTCCACATTTCTGGTGTTCAGAACTTTATGAGGTTAATATATGTTTTTAATTATTAATTCAAATTTTGTATTAATCATTGGATATTGTTATATTTAATACTCTTATAGTACAGCTTTTCATCAAAGCAAAACCGCCTTATCGTACCTATTGTACACTCTCCTTCACCATCTTTTCACAATAACTTTCCTGGAATATATAATAAAGTTATCCCTTCAAATGCATTTATTACAATTGATGGCGTTGAGTTCATTTTGATGCGCAGTAATTGGCGTAGTCAAGAAGTTTTATTGGCAATAAATCTGTCTACCGGTAAGGTTCAACAATTGACTACGACAGGGAGTTGGAACTTACTATCATCATGGGACAAGTATATATTAGCATCGCAGGGTTCAACTTTTGAATTTCATAAATTGGTAAGTTGGTATATATATATATATACGCTTTTCATTTATATATGGTTTACATTTATTATATTATTATTTTAGCAACTCGGAGTTATAACTGGTTGCCATGAAGACAATCTGGTCGTTGATTGGACAGTGGTCGATCAACCTGACGTGGAAGAAGGTACTTTATATTTCTATTTTTGCTTACTTTATTATTTAGTGTTTACACTAGTAAATTTAACAAATGAAATTTTAAATGCATAGTGGCACCCACTCTTTCCAAATCCACATGGTCCATATTGCGACCTTTCGAAAACAATCCTTATTTAGAATTAATAGTCTATAAGCCCAAAGGTGTCCCTTCAGACAAGAAACCACCTCTTATTGTTATCCCACATGGTGGACCACATAGTGCTTATACGACAAATATTAGTTTGACTATATCGACATTGGTTTCCTTGGGCTATTTTGTTGTAGGAGGTATTCTTTTAAATTTGAGCGAGAAACTTATGGAATAATTTTGTCAAATTATAGAAGAATTCACCTGAATTCCAATTTTTTTTAAAAAAAGTTAATTACACAGGGAGTGCTGGATTTGGCCAGAATTCCATTGATAAACTTATTGGAAACATAGGCAACTTAGAAATCGAAGAGGTTCAGGTATAGTGGTATATACTTTAGTGATATATTATCGCTGTTTTCGATTAAGTTTATCGACGGGTTTATGGTTGGTTTTTGATTTCCCGAGTCCGTAGGCCCTATAGGTAATAATTAATGATGGGTAACGCGCGGGATATATTGTATAACTCGGCCAGTAGCATAATCCGGCATGTTCCGTAACATTCCGAATCGAGGCAAAATTTCAGGCAAATTTTGACACTGTTCCGCAAAATGCCTAAATATGGAAAACCTATCTTGCGGATCACACACGTGATCCCTTATCCCGCGCGGGATTTTTAGAGAAATCGCAGATTGCCTATCATTAGTAATAATGCTTTATTCAAGCCCACATAAATATATTCAAATATATAAAATTTATGAATATTCGAGTATGTTATATTTATAATGATTTTGAATATTCACATATTTTTTAAATAATTTATAATATTTGTGAAATATTGTCTTATTTATAAATATTTACAATATTCATAATTATTATGAATATTCATAAAGATATTCGAATATATTACAAAAATAATTATGAAAATTCGAATTTATATTAAGATTGATGAATATAAGCACTAATAGGTAGCAACTTTATATTCATTATATTTTATTGAATTTATTTCATAGTTACTTTTACATCTTAATTATTCATATTTTTGCTTTTTTACAAGCTTTTTTTATCAGTGAATATACATGATTCGTGGTATTTTTTTTTCAAATTCTCAAGATTCACTATTATATTTCGGTTCTGCGGTATTATTCTAGCAGTACACAGAATCGGTAATTAATTTGACAAAATCCCACTAACAAAAACCATTATTTTGTCAAACTAACTACGGTTCTATTGTATCACTAGAAATGATATTGCAGAATCGAAATATATTAAAATTTTTAGATTTCTTTATATGGCAATTTAAGAGCGTTATAATAAATCTCTTGATAAAAAAAAGTTTGTAATGCGTGGATATGGACTCAAAAAATCAAATATATATAATATCGATATATTGTGCCCCAGATTGGAATCCTCCAGATTCGGAATTCTTAAACAGGGTACTCGTCTTAAGAACTATAATATAAATACTAACATTTACCCTATTAACTCTCAAACTGGGTAACCCACTGAATCAGGACAACTGGATTTTGAATCTGACGGATTCCAATCTGGGGACGATATATGTTTTTATGTATATATTATAATTCATCGATCCAACTAAATCGAAAACGACGATGAATTTTAATAAATTTTCAATGTATGATTATGTACAAATATCTAAGTACGCACGAATAATTTTCATTAGGCTGCAGCACAGTATTTCGTCGATCAACATGAAGTTGATCCTGATATGATAACAGTGATGGGTGGTAGTCATGGTGGTTTCATTTCTGGACACCTGATTGGAAAATACCCGGTATGTTAAGTAATATTATACTCAAATTATATATTTACTGACCTATCAAACATTTTAATATAGGATTTTTATAAATCTTGTATCATGTTAAATCCAGTATTAAATATCGGAGGTAAATTAGATATATATATATATTAGTTATTTAAGATTTTGTTAACGCTTTTATTTAAAAATCAGGAATGGTAGCAGTAACTGACATTCCAGATTGGTAAGAGATAATTTTCAGTGGTATTTGTTCGATTATACTAGATTTTTGTCATAATATGGAATATACTACACAACATAATAAAACAGGTGCTTTGCAGAACTAGGCCTACCATACTCTCTATCTAAGCCACCAATTCTCAAACCGTCAGACTATACCAAGATGTATGAAAATTCACCAATTTCAAATATAGATAAAGTGAAAACGCCAACTTTATTACTTCTTGGTGAAAATGATAAAAGAGTACCACACGTTGATGGATTGGCATGGTGGTACTATTTGAAAGGACAGGGCAAGGTAGAGATACATTGTAAGATGTTTAAAGAGACTGGGCATTCATTGGATAGCATTGAAGCTGAAATTCAAGGCTTTGATGCTATTACTAAATTTTTAAAAGATAAGATTGGATTGTGATAATGTGAGTGGTGGTGCAGACCCTACATAAGTAATACCAAGTCTGGTTAAACTTAGTGAAGCAATTACGTTGATCAAATATTTAAATTTTGCTACTAAAAATAGTTATTATGTACGGTTTAGCAGCATAAAATATATTAGGTGGTACTTATTTATGGTATTATTGTTAAGTTTGTGAAGCTAATTCTGAATGTTTAATTAGATACTGCATGTATTAAAATTCGAGAACCACGAGCGTTTTGTTATTATTTATATTTAAAAAATTTATTACGAGTTTTATATATATATATATATATATTATTATACTATTATTATTTTAATGCCTGCCCGGAATAAACTGAATCTGATTAGTCGATATTCGTGTGATCGTTGCAGAATCCTACGTGCTTACAGACTATTTCATATATATAACCACTTTCATCATAGCTTATCTTTATAATTAATGTAGCACGGACGTAAGGATGAATGTATTTTATTCAATTTTATTAAAAATTATATTAAAATTATTTAAACAATATCACAATTATTACATAATATACAAATTCATAGTCATTTCGTTCGTCACCTCGTTTTCGTTATGCGAATTTTGAAACCATTTAGTATCGTGTTTACAGCTTTGTTGCGTTCACTGAGTCGATTTGGTACACTAAAAAAACCCGACTATTCTGTATATTTTTTTCTTCAATATATATATATGTATTGTGATTTTTCTTTGAAACTTTTAAACTGTAGGAACGAGTCGACTTCTAGCATTATATATATATACTCACTCGTAGATTTCACATAACGATCGATTGAATGCATCCGAGTACATGCATATATGCTTAATGTCCTTTTTAGTTCAGTAATGTAAAATGGCTCGTTCATTGATAATTATCGTATACTTTTTATTATATTAACTTCTGGCTTTATTTGTAAACTTTAAAAAACTTGATAATTAATCACATATTTCAAATGTGTGTATAATGAATTAAAATCTCCCTGCTAGCAAATAAAATGTAGATTTGTTTTAAACACGTAATTAAGAGACCATTTTGACGGTAGAATTGACTAGTTCATTGATTTTGGTAACCTATTCGACCAAATCACATGATTGCATTACGATAGTGAATACGTAATTATCATTGCATATTACCATAATTTTACACATGGTTTGACGACTTGTAGAAGTACTACACAATTCATATGACTTTTTGGGCCGACATGGTCGATGAATGAATAAATCCTTGGGTTACTTATATAGGTACAAACTTCTAAAAAGGCATAACTGTTAATCGCAGGAAAATCAATGTTTAGTCTTTGAAACATTAATTAAAACTGACAGAAATGGGAATTTTGCTATAAAAAATGGTAACCTATTCTGTAACCTCAAATTCATTTATTAATCTAAATTTCTATATTTGTGCGTTTATCATACTCGGATTTTCTTAGAAATTTGCATTACCTGACTTGTCATACCCGACACCATATATTTACATCAAAGTTAAATTAAGCACAAAAATTTCAAATTTGTTTATGAAATCAATAACAGTATATACTCGGTTTTATAGGCCATACAAAATTGGCTAATTGGTTTTTATAAACTGGCAAAGTCAATCTTTGTAAATTCTTGAAAAATTTTTTTATAAATTTATCAAGTACCGTATTCCTCCAAAAAATAAGCACCCCCCTTTTTGCACCAAGATAGTTATAATTCAGGCCAAATTTTGTATAATGCAGACCAGGGGTGCTTATTTTCGGTATTTTTAATTTATTGTTATAATTTCTTGATAAATAAAGATTTTACTTAAAAATTCAGGAGAAACAAAATTAGAAACATTGAAATGAAACTGGACGTCATAATTTTAATATACCATGTGGGGATTTATTTGGTGACACAAATTGTAAAAAATAAATTGATCATACCTTAATTGTTATGTCTTTATGCATCTTTGTGTGATCAGAAGTAGAACAAATCAATTTAAAATATTGCAAGTCATATATTTTGTGTTATTGTTTAAATAATATTATTATAAAATGTGAAGGCATTACTTGTGTTTCGAAACACTGCGTCCTAATCAAATTGTACTCTAAATGAATCAAATAATAGGATCATTCAATTCACTCTATAATATTCGATCTTTCTTTTCTCTCCTCTTCAAACATTTCTTTTTCGACGAAGGAGGAATATATTCCTCGGTGTGCTTACATTCATTCGCACATTCCTCCTTCTATTCCAAGAATCCATCTCATACACTCCTTGTTCAAAATTTTTAACCCTTTTTACCAAAATAATAACCTAAAAAAACGTAACAGCGTACGTTACGTTGTTTCAAAAATTTGTAGATATATATAATAATATATGCTAAAAACCTCATTTACACTTCTATTATAACAAAAACATGGCTGGATATCCAAACGATTATTCATACCAACAACATTCTAGGCCTCTTCCACAACAAACTTATCAACAACAAGGATACTCCCCTCAGGGAGGGCAACAAGGGTATCAACAACAACAAGAATACACTCATCAGGGAGGACGTCAGCAAGAATACTCTCCTCATTCTCCTAATACTCAACAACAAGAATACACTCATCAGGGAGGACGTCAGCAAGAATACTCTCCTCATTCTCCTAATACTCCTCAAGGAGGATATCAACAAGAATACACTCCTCATGGAGGACGCCAACAAGGTTATTCTCCTCAGGGTGGATATAAACAAGAATACTCTCCTCATGGAGGACGCCAACAAGGATATTCTCCTCAGGGACAACAAGGATATCAAACGGAATATTATAATCAACGAAATAACTCTAATAACTCTCCATCACCTGGCGTACAAAATTATTCATTGCAAAGGCAACAGAATTGGCCTGAACATCAAGCTGTAGACGTTGATTACAAACATTTACCATCTCATGACAATAGAGCTGATAAAAGAAGGGTTAGTGAGAAGAAAATTCAATGATTTCACGTGATAATAAAGTTCACTTACTCGTGACGTAACGTAATTTTAATATAATGTTAATACATATATATGTGTATATTTTTTTTATAGTCATTCCGTCACATTGAACTAACTAATGGAAACTTGGTGCTTGATTGTACTGTGCCAGAACAAGTACTTCGTAACGTGCAATATACTGATAAAGATGAATTCACTAAAATGAGATACACCGCTGTCACGTGTGACCCTGATGATTTCGTAAAAAATAAATATTTACTTCGACCTCATATTTACGGACGAGAAACAGAGTTAATGATTGTTATGACAATGTATAATGAAGATGACAAATTGTTTATCAAAACAATGTCTTCTGCTATTAAAAATATCAGCTTTCTCTGTTCAAGAAAAAAATCAAAAACATGGGGTAAATTTATTTTTCAGTGAATTTGGTTTTTTTTTAACAAAAAAAAAAAGATGAATCTAAAATTTTCATATTTGTCTAGGGGAAAACGGCTGGAAAAAGGTAGTAGTAGTAGTAGTCTCAGATGGACGTAGTAAAATCAATCAACGAGTATTAAAAGTTCTTGGAGCTATGGGTGTTTATCAAGATGGTATTATGCAAGACAATGTTGATGGAAAACCTGTTACTGGGCATCTTTTTGAATATACTTCTCAATTAATGGTTGATAAAGAGTATAGTATTCGTGGTATGGACAAGAATGTGCAACCTGTACAAATCTTGTTTTGTTTGAAGGAAAAGAATGCCAAAAAATTAAATTCTCATCGATGGTTTTTTAATGCTTTCGCCGCTCAATTAAAACCTAATGTTTGTGTTTTACTTGATGTTGGAACTAAACCTTCTAACACCTCGATTTATCATTTGTGGAAAGGTAAATTTTTATCAAAAATTGATATCAAAACAAGTGTCAAAAGTACTCATTAGGTCAATTTTAATTAATTTATCATTATTTCATCTTCAGCCTTTGATAGAGATCCAGGAGTTGGTGGTGCTTGTGGTGAAATTAAAGCCGAACTCGGAACTGCATGTTTGAACCTTGTTAACCCATTAGTTGCATCCCAAAACTTTGAATATAAGATGTCCAACATTTTAGATAAACCATTAGAGTCAGTTTTTGGCTATATTTCCGTGTTGCCTGGTGCTTTTTCAGCTTATCGATACAGTGCATTATTAGATACTGCTCCTGGTAAGGGACCTTTGGCTTCATACTTTAAAGGTGAAGCAATGCATGGTTCTGGAGCGGCTAATGCTGGTATCTTTGAAGCAAATATGTATTTGGCTGAAGATCGTATCTTGTGTTTCGAACTTGTCACTAAAAAGAATGAAGCGTGGAAATTAAAATATGTTAAGGTAAATAAATGAGCAATTTAAATTATTGAGATTTATTTTTCATAATATAAAAGTAATTAATTTTTATTTTATTCAATATAGTCTGCTAAAGCTGAAACTGATGTCCCAGATAATGTACCGGAATTTATTTCCCAACGTCGTCGTTGGTTAAATGGATCATTCTTTGCAGCTTTCTATTCCCTTGCAAATTTTACTAGGATTTGGTCTTCTGGTCAACCCTTTTACAGGATGATGTTGTTACAAGTAGAATTTATATATAATGCGATTAATTTACTTTTTAATTGGTTTGCTTTGGTAAGTTGTAAAAATCATAAAATTTAGAATTATATATATATATATATATATAATTAACTTTTAATTTACTTTATTTTTCTTAGGGTAATTTCTATTTGGCATTCTTCTTCTTAACACAGTCTACCATTGCAACCCTAGATACATATGGAAGGGAAATGTTTAATTTTGCACGATCACTTTACATTATGGTTATAGTTACAATTTTCATTTGTTCTATGGGTAACAGACCTCAAGGATCAAAAAAGATATATATATCATGTATAGTTTTATTCGCATTCTTAATGGTGACAATGATGCTTTGTGCAGTTTATACAGTTTATTTAAGTTTTAAAGGCACCGATTTTAAGAGTTATAAAGAGATCAAAAATGCGCTCAAACAAGCAGCATTTAGAGATATTGTTATTTCA